CTCAAACAGCAACATTACACACTAACTAACGTTAAAAAAGTAAAACCACAATCAACCACCCCCTTAAAAATGTAAAGAACCTTTTTGTACTATAAAGAACTTTTTGTTGAATGGAAAAGTTCCATGGGTGTTAAAGGAACCATCGATGTCAATAAAGAACCGTTATTTTTAAGAGTGTTGAATCCCAGAGGACATCTGAAAAAAAAGCAAAACAGCAGAGAACAAAAATAGCAAGGTATTCATTAGATGCCATTTTCGTTATTTACAGCAATAATCTGAAATCAGTTCATCTCGAAACAAACTTGCTAAAAGTATTATTAAACTAAAAATGATTACATCACCACTTGCATGGCATCATTAATAATAAGTCTACATTGTTGAACCAACATGAAAGTAATTCAATGATGACAAAGTTTTCATCTTTAATTTTCGGGACATTGTGCCCTTTGGCTCGTCTTTAGTTTCATTCCCTTTGTTTCATTTTTTTAGGAGCACATTACATCACTTACAAAGCCAATGAAGCAAATTAATCTGCCTCAAATTGTTTTACATAAGGTCTGTATAGCCTACTTAGCCTTATACGGTTATTACTGTTTTATTAATGGTCTGTTGCATAAATTGGCATGCATCAGTGGTGGATATTTCAGGTTAGTGCCTGACATGTGGGGCTCATTGCTGTCAATCAAACTGAAAACAAAAAAACTTAAAACAACGCCTTCTCAAAGCTATATTTTTGTCTCCTTTGGAAAAAGCGTGCTGACCCTCCTGGAACAAAACATTCAGCTGAAAATGCATGCAGCTGTTTGCCAAAACCTGTTAAAACTCTTATATGTGAGCTATTAAAGGGATAGATCACCCAAAAAAATTCAGTTTCATGTTGTTCCAAACCCATAAGACATTTATGCATGAATTCAGTATATTTATTTTATTTGTGTTGCAGAAGTCTCAACGGCTTAGAACAACATGAGATTGAGTAAATTATGCCTTTTTAAATAGCTTTATGCTGTACTAAAAATGCTATATCTAATTTGGTGTTCCTGGTCAAAAATGACTGACATTTAAAAATTGCTTGTAAATGTCTCATTATGCTATATTATCACCAAATATTTGATTCAATCTTTTTTGTCAACCTGTTTTCTTTCAATTACCACAGGTTTTGTATTTCTGTTTGGAAATGACAATCTCATTGATTGAGCTTATGCACCTCCAGTTTTTGAAAAAAAAGCATTATTTGTGAAGATTAAAAACCGAAGTGCATAAGCTCAGATCAACGAGATCAATCAGTTTGAAAAAGTAGTACAAAACCTGTGCTAACTTAAAAAAAAAAACAAGTTGATAAAAAAATCAAATTCAATATTTAGTAATAATATAGCATTAAATATAATATAGGCTAAAACAACAGCGTGCCACATAAACAACATGTTCCTCCATACTCTTCAGGTTATTGACCAGTAAGTAATTGGGAATGAAGACTTTCAACATTATGAGGTGAATGTAGCTGATACTTTTGCAGCAAAATTGAAAGCTGAGAATGTAGTGTAGCTAAAAATGGTCTACATGTCTTATTTTATGATGGGATGTATAATTTTAATGACTGAATAATCTGGGAGGATTTTCAAGCCTCTGAAATAAAAAAAAAGCTTAAGTCAATTGGGGGTGTTGAACACATTTGCCTGGAAATGCATTGTTAAATGTTAAAAATTGCTATTATTGTCAGTGAAATAGAAAATAGTTTTGTAAATTGCAAGCATAATGCTCTTATTTGGAGCTTTGTTACTTGCAGGATGCGCACGTCACAGTAGATATTGGTTTGTCATGCCGTTTTAGTGTGAAACCCTATGATTGCTGTTCTCATTTTTCTTGCAGTATGTTTCACATCAGCTATTTTTATCCTTATGTAAGTTATTTATACTTTTGATCATCCACACATTGTATTAGAGTTTGAGAACAGGATTGTAAACATCGTTAACATCCCTTGACTTGAAAGAGGAGTGAGCTGAGCAGATAATTCTAACATTTCTCTGTGACTCTCTCTCTCTCTCTCTCTCTC